AAAAGAGAGTTGCTCGGGTCGAGCAGGCTGCTTCATGCGCGTTCACGCTCAGGCATCGCCCGTAGCATTTGCTATCCGTAGATTTAGCAGCAGAGAGAGAGGCAGTGCCACTTTGTCGCTGTTCCTAATGCCTAGTGACAAAGCTAGCTACATTTCTGAGGACCCTTAGCTACTTTCTTCTAGATATTTCCTGCAAATTAGCAACAAAATAGCCATTTTCGCTCCGAACCGTTCTTTGGTTTGACGTTGTTTCAGCTGTCATCAAGGATATAAAAGTTACAGATGCTGTGAACGTTACTAGAGTGTATCTCACCTTGTAAGACATCGGACTCCCACGCAGAAGACCTGGGTTTGATTCTGGATGTAAACATAGTTTATTTAGAGTTTATTTTTTACATTAATGGTATTTTTTTACAGTAAGATGCCCAAATTTTATTTGAGACTCGTTGAACAGCATTGAATTCACAGATAAAAAAGATGTGGGTTCAACTTTCATTTTTGAACTATTTTTCAAGCAAGGGAAGGGAATGATCTGAGCATGCAGGAGGACTGACCCATCTTAAACCTTTGTCGGCTGTGCTGAAGAGAAAGGTACAGAACCAAATTATTTAATTAATTAGCTGCTCGTTCTACTGTCGTCTGTCCTCCGGGACACACACACACACACACACACACACACACACACACACGCACAAACACACGCACGCACGCACGCACACACACACACACACACACACACGAGACTGTCTCAGCTGCTATTTTCGTTAAGGAGTGTGCACGTACAGCATGCGCGCCTCGTGCACGAGCCTACTATTGAAGCTGCCGTTACGCTTTTGGCCTGAGGGGGCAATCGCGAACATAAAAATTCATGAGTCCATAAAGTCCCTTTAAAAAACAATTAACAGGAAAAACAAAACAGACTTTCTGGTTTTTGAAATTTGGTTTTCGGATGAATGAAGAAAGAAAGATCCACATATAGACCGTGAATAAAAACCAACCAGTGGTGGGGAGACCTCCGGTTTGCTCCTTGGGTCAACCTGTATTTATTTGTAATTTTTATGTTTCATATTAGATTCTCAGACCCATTTGGCTGCGTTTAGAGCCCCAGCTAGCAGCTGTAGCATAGCAGGAGCAGCTTTGCTTGGACAGGAACAGAGCCAAGCAGGAACAAGGACAAACTCCTGATCTGCTGCTGCAGCACTGATGCAACGCTTTACGAGCAGGGTAACCTTCCGCAGGGAAACTAGAAGTATTTACAAAGAAAGTTTTAGTGCAGGAAAGTTTTCGAGTGAAGAATCTGAGTGATGCTTGAGTCATCGTATTGATCAGGAGTCCTGTAACCTCCCACTGAAATAACAGCAGGTTTCATCTGAAGAACGTTATGGATTCACTCACAGGCTGCAGGTGAAAACGCGGCGGCTGATTGTCTATACTAGATTCCCAATCGGACCTCTGACCCTCTCTGCTGTCCTGAGCCGGATTCTGAGCATCAGAATGTTCTGTGTGTGGGCAGCGGGAGCCCAGAGGAACAGACAGAAGAGCGCTTGTGCGTGTGTGAACTGGCAGCCTGTTGTGGTATTATTTCTACTGTCCGTGTGGGTGGGCAGCGCAGAGCCAGAGGGCAGCGCATGTTTACTCTGAAAGAGACGGAGAGAGATCCTTCTGCCACGCTTCCCAACACCGATACTCAGCTGCTGAATCTAAAATAGCTCCGCTGCTCACTTCTACTCCCATTTTTGGATGTTTAAGGCCAAAAGTCGACAAGATTTTATTAGACTTTTTATAGAAAAAGGACCAGATTGATGTTTATGTGCTCAGTAAACGTAATGGAGACTAGTTTGTTTTAATCATCCTGAAAGATTTAAAGGTTCTACTTTAGCTTCATATTAATATGTTTCACCCTCGGTGGAACCAAACATGAAATTAGTTGTTTGTTTATGTCCTTTACGTCAGAATTGAGTTTAGAATTAAGAGGAACTTATACTTTATTATTGTTATTATTATTATTGTTGTTTTGTATGGTGGCGTAGCTGTAGCACCATTGCCTCACAGGTCACAGGTTCAAATCCCAGCTTCAGCCTTTCTGCATTGAGTTGGCATGTTCTCCCTGTATGTGTGTGGGTTTCCTCTCATAGAACAAAAACATGCACTGGAGTCTCTAAATAGTCCCCAGGTGTGACTGTGTGTGTCCATTTGATGGACCAGGATGTCCACCGCCTGTTGCCCAATGACTGCTGGACACCAGCTCCGTGGGGTCCAGGTGAGGAAAAGCGGGTAACATCCTGAGTGGGTGAGGGTTATGGTCATTACTGCACCGCTAGTTAGCATGCTAACTCTTGGATTTATTTGATATTTTTGACACAACGGGATTTAGTAGATTAAGGCGGTCATTATTGAGGAGTACATATTCCCAATCCTTTCAGCAGCTAGACTGATTTAAAACATTGTGATTGTTTATTGAGATGAAGGTCCCAGATCTAGAGTTTTAGGCCATATGTACGGAATAAGGTTTGTGCCTTCAGAATAAATCTTTTTTATTAAATATGTATTTTACTTCTGAATTAGTTGATTGTGTTTTTAGATAGTTATATTATTTTTTATGTTCTTTTTGGTTGACCTTTTAGTACAAATTGTTTATTTGGCAGACGCTTTTATCCAAAGCGGCTTACAATTTATACTCTATAGGGCATGTTGTAACCCATAAGCCCCGCCCCTAATCTAATCTGTTTGGGAGTGTTTTTGGAGTTTGGTGAGGGGTCCTTTTAGTTATATTTGATTAAATAACATGTTTATTATTTAAAAATACTCCTAGTTGTTTAAAGTAAAAAGTATTCGGGATGAAGTAGCACACGTCTGATTTCTGTTAGATGTAGGGTTGGGCATCGAGCATCGATTGGAACCGGTTCCAACTGTTAGTTTTTCCCGGAATCGTTCAAAGTTTTTTATTTCAGTTCCTAGAATGCCGACCGGAAGAGGAATCCGCGGCCGATCTCCCGTGAAAAATGAACTTGATCTGCAAATTGTGATCAACACTTTTCAGAGCTGATCACACCAGCTGTCTGTGTGCAGCACCCAACACCCCACCCGCCCACACACGCCCAAATATAAACAAACGCGTCTGCCGAACTTTTACTCCGTAATGTAAACTTTAACTCCTGCAGCGTAGAGGAAATGTGTTAAACACGTCAACACGGTGGATTTAATAGAAGCTTTAAAGAACAAACTCTGGACGGTGTGAGGCAAGTTTGTCTCACTGCAGAAATAAAAACACACACGGAGCGTCAGCAGTCAGACGCAGCCGCTCACCAACACTCGTGTGTGTGTGTGTGTGTGTGTGTGAGCGTCAGTGGGCTGAACAATAACCTGTAGAATAATTAGTCATCATGCTAGAGCAGCTTCTCTGTGGTGGACCACACCAGCTTCTGCCACAATAAATAATAATAATAATAATATAATAAATAACACAAAGGTTTATTTCCTGTCTAAACTATTTCTGTTGAGTTTTACTGTTTAAAATCTGTTAGATTGTTACTGACCGCGGCTACATTTAAGTTCCTGTTCTGACTGAATGCTGCTGCAGCATGGAGGTGTAGTTCTCAGTCATCCTGGACGTGAGCATCCTGAGAGCTTTAACTGAAAACAGCTGCACGTTTCTGGACATGTTGGAGATATTTAGCCTCTCATCCCAGAGGCTTCTTCCAGACTTTGGTTGTGGTCAGAAACAAACACACTGGTTGTGCTGCAAGTCTTTTTCTTTTTCTCCAAAACATGTTTTTGTCTAAATACCATACCATACCATAAATGAAGGTGATGTTGTTGTTCATAGAGTTAAAATTCATGTTGAAGTAAAGATTATTTCATCATGTAGGACCTGTGGTCAGCTGGCTCGTGTAAACATGTCATGTCTGGAAAGAATCTGAATCGGGAATCGAAACGAGGAATTGGAATCGGGATTGTTAAAAATCAAACGATGCCCAACCCTAGTTATATGTGAACCGCTTTACGGGCAGATGCTGATTTTAGCTGATTCTAGGTTTTTTTTCTTTTCTGAAAAACAATTTCTAAAATGTATAAAAAATATAATTCAGATGAACTGAATTTTGTGAAATTTCCATTCTTGCTAGCTTGAATTAGCTCCAGGCAGTGATGCGTTCATGGACCGGGACGTGTTCCCCTGCTTGTGACTGGGAACAGATCATGAGTGACTTTAGCATCAACAGCAGCTGGAATGTGGGATTCTGTCAGTGATCTGTGTCTCATGTCCTAGAAAATCCCCGGAAACACCTGAGATCCAGGTGGAGCTTTCCCAGCGCTTACGGTTTACACAACAGACGGTGATTAGCGGCGTTGTTGGTGTGTGGTGCAGAGTTCCCCTGCAGCTACGACTCCAGATAATACACGATCTGCGCCTGGAAACGAGATAAGAGCTGCAGCCGGTTCCCAGGCCCCCCCCACTGATCCACTCCACTGATCTCCACCCTTAATGAAGCATCTATCAGCAGAGCTTCGTTAGCTCAGGCATGCAGCGTGCCCTGGCTGGTTCTCTGCTCGCCGCTGCCAAAGACTCTGTAATTGTGGAGCACTCGCTCTCTCGCCGAGCATCTGATGGTACAGAGTTTACATCCGAGCCTCCAGGCGCAGGAAAAGCAGACCGGGAATTCACTCCAAATGAAGTCTCATTTGGCAAACATAAAGCTGTGTGCAAATACCTGCGAACAGATGACAGGTGTGTTTGTTTAGAGGAGTCGGGACGGAGGAGCGTGCAGCCTGCAGCTCAGGAATTCAGCCAGTTTCAACCTGCAGTCGGTCTGAGTTTAAGGCGGATCAGTCAAAAAATAAATGTTAAAGGTGAATTTAAATAATCCTGAAGTAATGAAAACCTGGATGGATAAGAACTTTTTCTTTGTCGTAATTTAACATTATTAAATGATTAGTTTGTTTTTCCAAATAAGGTGAATTAACTATTGTTTTTCTTTGTTGAAATAAAACCACCAAACAGTCCAATTATTGGTCCCATAATGCATTTTTATTTGTTTAGCTATAAAATAAAGATACGAGTGTAACTTTATTCATTTGTTTTCAGTCTCACAGCTCCACTCCTGAGCATCAATCCCCACTAGCTCCACCCCCTTCATCCCTCTCTGCTGGGCACTGGCCAGTTACCATATGTCAAGTATTTTATCAACAACCCAGTGCCTGCTACCAGAGAAAAATAAACGAATGACAGACAAGTATCCAGATTGCAATGAAGAGGCAGAAGCAACAAGAATTAATTCTCAGTTTATTTATGAGATAAGAAAATGTGTGTGTGGGAATGTCTGTGTGGGTGTGTCTGAATAAATGAGCATGCATTTAGGCATAGAGAAATACACATTACATTCAGTTAGTTGAATCAGTGATCAAGAAATGATAAACATAACATTTCCATAACACCATAGCAACAGCAGCAGAAGCGGCAGTCACTGACAGTTGTCTTAGGCTGCATCCCATTTCACAGGCTCCTACCTATGAAGGGCAGTTTAAGGACAGATTCATCACGAAGGCCGTCTGAATTCAAGGACTTAATTTGAAAAAGGAGGAAGGACCTGGTGCATTCTTCATAGTTGCACATCCCATAATTCCTCTTGCAGCAGCGATGACAGCAGCTGGGGATTATGGCCACCTCAACAAACAGACTAGGCTTCTGATTTAACTCAAGGTTAGCGACGTGCTAACGCTGTTAAAGCTCAGAGGGCTCAGATGTGAAGCAGAAGCAGATGTTCACCTCAGTCCTGGTGGACCGGACCGACTCATTCCTCCCGTCCTATAAAATGGGACGCAGCTACAAACGCCTGGCTGGATTTTACGTTTTCTCAGTCTAACGATGTCACTGATGATGTGACACAACCCTACTCGCTATTTGTGATTTAAATTGTTTAGATCTGAGAGGAAAATGGTCGGTTGGCTTTCTTCTTATTTTGTATTTGAAAGCATTTATTGTTTTGGTTGTTGCGCTTCCTGTTTTAGACGTTCACGGCGTTTCAGACGTAAAGAAAACTGAAGAGCTCTGATTTCTATTTGGGACTTAATCAACCCGTCACAGGAAAGACCAGATTCTTATTAAAGATGTGTCCTGCAGAGAGAAACGATCAAAACGAACAACGTTGGAGAACATGTTAACGAGAGCGGCTGAAATACGAACACCGGGCTGTGAGAAAACTTTTATAAACCCCTAAATAACCAGGCAGTGTTCCCTCGGGGAACCTCAGGGCGTCCCTCTCGTGTCGCTGACATTTTGAAAACGTTTATAATATCTTCCAATCAAACATTCAGTTTAGTTTATTTATAGTGACATTGTTTATCTTATGTGACCTTAAAAGGAAAACCTCATCACAACCACCAGGTGCTGCTGGGGATTCTCAGACCTGATCACGTTCAGGCGCTGAGATAAACGTGAAACATCAGAACCGACTTGTAGCAGCGACTAAAACCCTGTAGCTGCAGAACTGATGGATTCTGGGAACTCAGCATTCCACCGCCCTAAAACCCACAAAGCTCCTCTGTTTTGCTCCTCCCGACTCTGTAAGGTGACACGACTCTTTTCCTCTCGGCTTCTCCTCCCTCTACCTTTCTCCTCCGGGCTCTTTGACCAGGAGCTGCTCTGCTTTTGTTGAACGCTTCACAAAGTAGAAAAAGGAGTGGGGGCTGAAATCGGAGCTTTTTCTTCAGAGGTGGAGGCGATTCATAGCCTGTTTGTGCACAAGGAGGAGGAGAAGCAGTGGGAGGAGATCGGGCAACGCGAAGGAAAAAGGAGGACACGAAGAGTCCACGGAGGTCAGAGAACTGGGACAAAAGTCTCCTGAGACAGAGGAGCTGAGGAGGAAGGGCGATCAGCACGTGTTTGGATCGTAGGACCGGAAGAATCCAGGTAGGAGGAGAGGTCAAAGGTCACTGCTGCTGGTGTGTGGGGGGTTATCGTTTGTAAAGATTAAGTTTGGTGTCGTTCTTTGCGGCAGTGGTTGTGAAACTTTCTGTGAATCAGTTTCTGCTACTAAACTTTGACTTTCATTATTCAGTAACTAAACTCTTATCTTCTTTAGTTGTGTCGTTGGGAAAAGATTTCAGCCAAGGAGCAGAAAAGTTGATTAAGTAGATAAAGTTGTGCTTCAGGTTAAAGAACCAGATTACCTCTAAAAGCCTTTATTTGTTTTATGTAGCTGTTTTTACCTGGATTAAAAAACCCTCAAATATTCCAATTCTCATAGGAACTCAATTAACTTGTTTTATTAAGTTCAGTGATCCCCTTATTCTCTTCTACCTGTGACACATTTAACTGGTTCACGTGAGTTCTACTGTATTTATATTTTAATGCCTGATATTGTGTGAGTGAGTGAGTGAGTGAGTGAGTGAGTGAGTGAGAGAATGTCAGGAAGTCACATTGTATGATTTGTAAAGAATTTATTTGTTTTGCACTGCTGCACATAAATCAGTATTAATATTTGGTACAGAAGCCTTTGTTTGCAATTACAGAGGTCAAACGTTTCCTGTAGTTCTTGACCAGGTTTGCACATACTGCAACAGGGATTTTGGCCCACTCCTCCACACCGATCTTCTCTGGATTTGTCAGGTTCTGGGGCTGGTGCTGAGCATTACAGAGTTTCAGCTCCCTCCAAAGATTTTCGATTGGATTTAGGTCTGGATACTGGCTAGGCCACTCCAGAACCTTGATATGCTTCTTGCGGAGACACTCCTTGGTTATCCTGGCTGTGTGCTTCGGGTCATAGTCATGTTGGAAGACCCAGCCACGACCCAACTTCAATGCACTGACTGAGGGAAGGAGGTTGCTGCTCAAAAAAGCCCGAGCCCGACTTTTTTTTTTTAACCAACTAAATGAAAACAAAGTGCGTCAATCCTGACCAATGTGTCAAAAGACGTGCAGGATCCGATCAATTTGTTTTTCCTTCGTTTACCGTCACGGAGATAACGGCGCAGTGCGCCTGGCTCTGGTGTTAATCAAGTTAAATTATATCTCTTTCCAACAATTTTCACAAGAAAACAAAACAGTCAAAAGCAGGGCTTGTGTTGACCGGATAGTTCCCGTATTTGACAGTTTATTTTGACGGAGAAAGAATAGAAAGAATTACTCCGACGCATGCAGACGAACTGACATTTTATTCGTTACGCACATGGCAGATGTAGCTAAATCACCCAAGAAAAGATTCCCATCTGTCACTTAGAAAATGTTCCCTGATTATGAAACTTTGGCTGAATAGTGCTTGTTCCTGTCTCCAATGTGGCGACACATCCAGGAGCCGTCTGAGAATCCCAGAATCTCTTCAGCTCAGGAAGCGCATATGATTACGCACAAGCGTGACCCGTCAACCCGGTCTCGCAGTAAGACCGGGTTGGAACTGTTCAGGTTTACACAGACAATCTTTTTATTTAGAATTGACTTATATATAAAATTAATGCAGTAAAATATAAAGCATTTGATCTAAATACCCATTCATTATTTTACAAGCACAGAGAGCCGCATCAGATGGATGGAAGAGCCGCGGGTTGTGACATGTTTTCTCCAGGACCAGAGAGGACGCAAACTCAATACATCTCTTTTATTGTGAGGTAATAATTTCTCCGAGATTTGTGGTTGCGGGCGGGAGTAGACCTGCACGCTGCAGGTGCGGGCGGGAGTGTAACACACACGTTGCGGTTGCAGGCGGTAATGGTCAGAAATTCAGCGGGAGCAGGATGAAGAAAACAGTCCCGTGCAAGGCTCTACTGCTGCGTTTGTGTTTCAATTGTTTTTATGAATTCGATTAAAAATAAAGGCGCCCAGGCCGTGTCCGAGGTAATTACACAGTCGTTGGCCCGAAGCCCGACCCGAGGGCCTACGGCTTCAGTGCAGGGCTCTAACGTGGACATAAAATAACGTTATGACTTTTTGATTTAGAATAGAGTGAAATGATTCTACTAAAACATTTTGAGACAAATGGTCGTTGATTACGACTCCATAGATAAAGAACAGAAAACATTGTTAGCAGTTGGCTAAAAACGAAGGATTATTCTACCAGGGTATCCCCCAGCGCTTTGTAAGCCTGGCGGCCCGCCAGGCTTTGCTTGGCCACCCGCCAGGCTAAGCGTCATACCCTTTCCCCGACCCTACCGTGTCCGCTGACACGAACGGCGAAATGAAACCAGAGCCCTCCATCAGCTGATACTGGTGAGAAACAGCAGCGGAATGTGTGCCCCCCCCCCCCCCCCCCCCCCGCTCTAAACGAAAGAGCGCTGCGGGACGGCGCGTGTGACTAGGGCCCCGTTGGTTTTGTTACCAGCCTGAAAAAAAAAAGTCTGATCTGAAAGCATTAAACAACTGGCCGTTAGCTCATCAGTCCTGCTTCCACTGCAACACCAGGTTCTGGATCTCCCAACAGAAAATAAGTTAAAAAAACAGAAATCTCCTTTTGGGGTTCCTGAATCTTGTTAGATTTTCTCACTAGAATATTCAGCAAGGTGTGGGCGGAGCCTGAAAGTTGATTATTAATTTGTTTATTTGATGCCGATTACGGTATCAGAGCAGAAAACTGAATCATTTAACAAAACTAAACAAACACCGTTCGGTCGAAAATTTTATTTGAGCTCGTCTAGATTTAGGCTCCTGATTGTGTTGCATCCATGTTGGGTTTTATAAACCCCTGGACCTGGCACCACCTGCGCTCCGTGTCCCGTCTTTATTCTGGGGTCAAAGAGGGCACGGCTGAGTGTGAGAAGAGTTGATTAGTGGTCCCTTATCTCTCCTAATAGATGAAGCAGCTGCTGATTATTCCTTTAATCAGAGCACTCCCCTACGTGATTAGCTGGGAGCAAATAAACCCGCTCCTCTGATAGAAATGGAACCAGCCGCTGGACCGGAGCGCCACGCTCACGTCTTAATTTCATTATCATACTGAACGTCTGGATCTTTGGTCCGAACCCGCGGGATTATCCGAGGAGAGACGAAAGGGATTAATAATGCTGTCGATGAATCTGAGTATTTACTCCGCTTTAGTTCTTTTTCGGCGCCTGAAGAGTTCAGGGAAACCCGTCAGAAGTGACACGTCCTTTCATGAATTAGTAACCTGATGAAACGTGGTCGCCGGAGAAAGTGTGTCCGTTAACAAAAATCTAAAATGTCTCGGTCAGATGGTTTCAGAGACCCGTCCGTGTGTTCTGGGACGGTTCGTGTGCAGCGAGCGTTCCCGTAATTAGGAAACATTTGCCTCGGAGCATCGAAGCACAACAGAGAAATGTTTGTGGGTGTGCTGTGTTTTCGTTTGGTGCCGTTGGACCGAGATATTTGTCGTCCCGCCCACGCGCCGCCCGTCCGTCCCTCCAGTGCTGCTCTCAGCTCCGTGACGGAGGAGGCTGCAGCTCTGGCTCCTGACATCAGCGGCGTTTGTTTTTACTGCAACAATTAAGAGTCTGAGCGGCTCCTGCAGAATCAACAAAAGCGGCCTATTAAAGGCCTCTTTAGTGGCGCTGTCCCTCACTTTTATATCCTGGCCGAGTTTATTGATGTTGGAGCTCAAAGGCCTTCCACCTCTGACGGAGATCCTTTGTATTCTGCTTTGATTCCCAACATCCCTCTTTTATCATTCATCCTTTCTGCCTCAGTGTTTACTCCGGGCCTGTTTTTGTATTTTATTACCTTTCTTCTGTCTCCATCACTCCTTCTGTCTTTTATTTCTGTCTCGTCCCTTTTCTCTTTCCAGGCATTCTGTCACCTCCTGATCTTCCTCCTCTTTCTTTTCTTTTAATCTTTGCTCTCCATTTGTCTTGCTTTCTTCCCTGTCTCAGCACCTTTCATTGCTCCCAGAGACGTACAGCGCATACATCAGCCTCACTAATTAACTCATAAATCATACTTGGAAAGTTTAAATGACTGGCGGAGCGTTGAAGTGATTCCAGCCAAACTTCCAGCACACAGCCGGCTGTTCTAATACTGCGCCACTCTGCAGTAAGTGAAGCTGTTAGCAGATACAGTTTCTATCCCGGGTTCAGATGTTTAAGCTACTGTGAAGAATTTTGTCCCAAAAGAACGACGTTTATCGGCGTCTTGGGGAAGCAGGACCTCCAGTCCCAGGACGGGTTGAGACAGTGTTAGGAGCAGCTCCGAGAACCCTCTCTGTGTCGGGAATGAGCTCCGTTCCCAGGACCAGGTTTAGATGGACCAGTAGATCCAGAAGCTTCCAGCTTCACAGACCGGACCAGATGAGACCCAGTCATGATTTCGTTGGACCATCTCTTCTCCATCCTTCAATCACCACATTCTAGAAAGAAAGTTTATGGCCTTGTTCTTGGATTAAATCAATGTTAACGTAAATAAAAATGTGTTTGTTTACTGATATGGAAACAGGAAGTCCTGATCCGTGTCCCCAGACTCTGATCAGTTTTAGAAGCTCCGACCTTGGATCGTTTAGTTTCCTGAGGATCTGTTCTGCTTTGGTTTCTAATTATTTTTGTGTCTGGATTCTTCTCTTGTGTCCTCAGATGAAAGATGCTGCTGGGTACTGAAGAGGGACTGAGCCCTACCTGAACCCCCCCCTTCCCCCGTCCCGACACTCAGAGCCAACAGCGTTGCCGTCCCATCATGCACCTGCTGTGCCGCGGGCGTCTGAAGCTGCTGGTGGCGACTCTCACCGCTGTGGTCCTGCTCACCTGGCTCTACCTGCTGGCTGGAAACCTGGAGAGTGAGTTCAAACAAAAGCTTCTTCTGCTTTGGGTCGGACGGCCAGCAGAACCGTTTCAGCAAGTTCAGCTCTAATCGTCTTCAGATTAAACACACTGAGACCGTTTTTATGTTCAGATTAATTTTTCATTCTGACACTCGGCAGAACCATATGGCAGCACCAGAGTACCCGTCAGCACTTTAGTTCTGATCAGAACATCCAGCGTCTGTCGACTGGAGGAAGTTTAGCAGCTTCACTAACTTTTTCTTTCATTTAGTTCAAAACCTTCTGAAGCAGAAACGATAAAAACGCGTCTGGTTCTGTTTGTTTTAACTCAGAGAAAACTACAAACGAAACCGGAACCGGGTGAGAAGTTTCAGTCTGCTGACTGGTCAGATCGTTTGAGGGCGGCACTTTCGTATGTGCTCTGATTCAGAACTAGCTGATGACACGCCAGTGGCGTGTCCAGGCCTTTTACAATGGGGTGGCACCTGTTTTTTTTTTGTTGTTTTTTTTGCATTAGTGAATTTTTGAGTTCAATCGGGTTTTATTTATAAAGCACTTTTCAAGCAAAGTGTTTTACAAAATGACCCCAAATTCCCATAACAGTTTAAAAACATTAACAGGCACGCACGCACGCACGCACACACACACACACACACACACACACACACATCAGTAAAAATTTATATTCGGCTGAGTCCAGATGAGCCAAGTAAGGTAAGGCAAGGAAACGCCATCAGAGGAGCCGTCTGCCCCGGCAGCATCAGGTCTTCCACACTAAAGCCTGATTCATGCTTCTCCGTCAGCTCCGCAAGGGACAGACACGCACGGATTGACGGAAGCATTTTGCACTCATGCTTCTCCATCTCCTGGAGAGTGTTGCAAAGCAATCCCCCGGCAGGACAACAGAGGGCGTAGCGCTGTTCTGTGGTATCCTGTCATGTATCGGTCCAAAATAGTGTGTTTATATTGTGTTTTTTGTGTATATAAGAGACTTTTTAACACGGACATATTTGTCTCTCATTCTCCCACCGCTTCATGCGCTTCCCACCTCTAAACCCACGTTTCCTGTCATTTCCGTCCACAAATAAAATGACCCGCACTTGTACAGCGCCTCTCAGAGTAAGGACTCCAAAGTGCTTTACACTACAGTGTATCATTCATCCATTCACACACACATTCACACACTGGTGGGGATGAACTACAATGTAGCCACAGCTGCCCTGGGGCGCACTGACAGGGGCGAGGCTGCCGCGCACAGGCGCCACCGGTCCCTCCGACCACCACCAGCAGGCAAGGTGGGTTAAGTGTCTTGCCCAAGGACACAACAGCAGAATTCTCTGTCCGGAGCCGGGATCAAACCTGCAACCTTCCGATTACTGGACAACCCGCTCTACCTGTTGAGCTACTGCTGCCCCTAATGCTTGCTGCGTATCTTTTCACTCCTCCAGTCACGGGAGAATTAAACATTCATGTTTTTAGAGTTTTTTCGCGAGGTATTCTTCAAGCTTCTCCGTGTCTGCCGCTAGTTATCCTCGGCTCTCTTTGCAATGGCGGCGCTGGCGTCCTGACTAATCACAAGCTTGCGTAATCCGTCTCGTTCGATGGATGTTTTAAAAAGTGGGCTCGACTCTGTACGTACTTGCATGCCTGCCGGAGCCCTACGCAAGGACGGATAATGGCGTTGCGCGCTCAGAGGAGGGGGCATAGACCCCCACCTCCACTTAAACACTACCTGTAGAGCACCCAGGAAGCAACAGTCCCACTGCCCCCGGGGCAGAGGGCCCCTACAGAGAAAACACTGGATTAAAATGAGTAAAAATATGAAAATAAAAGAGCTAATATAAATGACTAAAGTAAGAAAATGAGTAATAAATAAAATCATATAGATTGTAAAATATTATTAAATAATGAAACAATGCTAAAATATAATCATATAAAACATGCAAAGCAAGCAATAAAATACAATCATGTAAGACGAAAAATAAAACTAGTAAATAATTAGATAGAAGCTAACCTAAATAGACAGGTCTTGAGCCTGAACTTAAAAACATGAACAGTTCAATCCACGAGTTCCATGTTGTGTAAGTTTTTCCTCTCTTTCTTTTTCTTTTCCTTCTTTGAACTGTTTTGCGGTGTTTAGTCACTTCTTGGTGCATTGCTGACACCAACTGGACTTGGACCAGAACTCTTAAGTACTAATTATGTCAATATGAAAAAAAAAAAACATAATAATCATAAAGATAGAGAAATGCTGTGTTTACCAGGGCTAGAAAACAAAGGTTAAAGGTGTCACCTACTGTTTTGGGCTTTACAAGCAATATAAACTTAGTGGGGTGGCCAGCCAGATTCCATGGGTGGCATGTGCTACCCAAGGCCACTCCCTGACCACGCCCCTGTGACACGCACAATTACATCAGCAAACGTCCAACTGCTGACATTTGTAAAACTGAGAGTTGCTGGTGAAGCAGAATGACAGGGAAAGAAACTGCGTTCCTAAACTCCCGACGATAACAAACGTGGGGGAATTTCCTCCATGTTGCTTTGTGGTCGTGCTGAACACGTAGAAAAACCCACCTTTTCTGATAACTGAACGGCACATTTTACGTCCAGCGGCTGCTGTCCCGGTCCTCGAATGGATTCGATTATGCTGTTTCTGACAAGCAAAAAGTAGAAATGATACTGATGTCCATGGACACTTCTTGGTGCTGACCAGTGACATCACTCACTGCAGAATGGGTCACAATATGATGATGTCTTGGCAAAGTCCTGAGAGGACCGAGCCATCGGATCTCCGATCACTTTCCCCCGAAACTCCTGTAGTGGAAAAACGGCTAATGTGAACGATGTAATCAATATTTTTACTAATGATTTCAGGTTACAATGTGATTTTTTTTTACTCTAGACAGCTACTTTAATATTATCTGATTAAAAAAGTGTAAAAGTGAACTAACACCTACGTTCTTGTGTCTCGGACGAGGATTTCTCATCATGCCCGAGTTCAGCAGGGTGAGGTTTTATGAGGCAGAGAGGAAGAAAGGGGGAGAAATGAGAGAATGAGGGAGGACGGGAGAAGGGAAACATTTGAATTTGGTTGTTTTTTTCTGTCATCAAATATTTAAACTGGACAGAAATCCTTTTGGGATTGTTTTCAGCTCCTGATTATTTTTTGTTTGTTTCTCTATATTTTGTGTTCAAAAACACACATGGTTCTTGTTAGTGCGCGTGCATGCGTGTGTGTGTGTGTGTGTGTGTGTGTGTGTGTGTGTGATTAAGCTGCTGGCTAATTTACGTATTCACAGGGAAAACAGGCTTTTTTCACCACAGTCGCTCTGCTTTTAACAAACCGCTTCCTTCTCACCGGACGTGACTACTACCTGGAACAAGCAGATTAAAGCGATAGGCTTTTATAATTTATGTGAGAAATGTAATCATGAGTCGGCATCACTCTGATGTTCCGTATGCGACGTTTAGGGGCTTTATACGGGAGCAGCGATGAGCGAACTGGACAAACAAGAACAGACACAATCATTGGCAGATGCTGCACACGCATTAGCATTTATAAACTGCAGCGAGAGCTTCACTGGGCTCCGATTATTCAGCCTACGAGGCACAATTTGTATTCCTGGCCTTCTGGCACCAAAAGAAGCAAACTGAACCAGATCTACTTCTTTAGAGGAATGTGTCAAGAATTTAGCCAAATCTCAGCAGCCGGCGTTCGCCTGAATCTTTGTTTTTATTCAGCTGACAAAACTGGATTTAAAGCTGTAATTAAAATCAGCCTCCAGCTTTTAGGAATCTGCAAACCAAGAGGCCGAACGTCTCCTTTAATGCTGAAAGAACTGGAGCCTCTATGTGTTTAATGTTCAACAACAAAGATGACATCAAAACCCTAGAACGGGGTGTCCAATCCTGGTCCTCGAGGGCCGGTATCAGGCACGTTTTCGTTTGAACCTGCTTCAACACACCTGATTTCAATCAGCAGGTGATTAACAGGCTTCTGCAGAGCCTGATGAGCTGCTGCACAGGTGATTCAACCAGCTAATCAAGCGTGTTGAAGCAGAAAAACCACAAAACCTGCTGGTTACCGGCCCTCCAGGACCAGGATTGGACACCCCTGCCCTAGAAGTTCACCCGAGGTTCATCATGGAAACTCTTGGAGGAAAAAGTTGAAACTCCAGATCTTAGAACTAGTTTTACTCTCACAATGGAGGTGGAGAAAATCTTCTCTCTGTGCGCTCCAGATGGTTTCACACGTTCAGGAATGTGATCAAAACATCTCAACATGGGGACCAAACCCACAGCCAACTGTCCACCGGAGCTTTGGGAAATTTCTTGGAGAGGGAGAAAGGTGACAGGAAAATACGATGGCTCGGATCTCTCAGTTGTGTCTCCACACTAAATTCAGTCGTTTCAAGACTTTGATGAGATTTCGGCATATTGCAATCTTTTCAGCATTGGGCGATGTCACTGATCAGCGCCAAAAGGCGTCCACAAACATTAACTCATTCACTACCAGCCGTTTCCTGATTGGTAAAGCCCTTCACTGCCAGCGTTTCTCACCGTTTTACTGTTTTTTTTAAAGAGTGACAGAACGTTGTGCGCTAGGATGATGCCGACGCCAAAACAACCAAAACAACGTGGAGACTCACCTCTTACATCAGGAAGAATGGGCGCGTTTCAAGCTTTATCCGTTCTTTCATAATCCGTTGTTGAATTGTGATCGGCAGAGGCTTTTCCGGTTTGCGCCTCACTTTTTTTACAACAGCGGCCCAAAACGATCTCCTAACACATGGATGTTCTGCTTCCTGATCACGTGACGTGTGCGGATGAAGATCGGCTTTAGAGCGGAGATGTTTGTTTTCACGGTGCGGGGGCTCGTCCGACGCCCACACAGTTAAAAAAAAAAATGCAAATGACGATTTTTGGGCTTCATTGGCAGTGAATGAGTTAATGACGTTGACAAAGTTTATTCTGTCAAAAAACGATGTAATTTCATCCTTTCAGGGGACTAGGAGAGCATCTGTGTGACGTAAAATGGACCAAAAGAAGTGCCGTAAAAAACTACAAAGCAGCGTAAACGAGAGATTTCCCTCTTGTGTTTTCAGGGTTGAGTTTAGAAGCATAAATCTGCTTTTTTCCTTTACTTTCCATTCCGATTCACCAACAACTTCCAGTTTTACTAATACCAGCTGTGTGACATCTGCTGATGTCATTACCTACTGAGCTACCACCAACTAATTAACCACAAACTGGGCCATTTGTGATTGCATGCCCCAGTTCTGGTGCCTGAAATGGCTCAGTGAAGAAACATGTGCATCCTGAAATGATCCGGTAAAATTACCCAGAAGTTTCGATAGTAGCTTCTAGTAGCCAACATGTTCTCTGCTGTTTCCTGGACGCTAAACCAACAACAGCCTTCTCCATCATGAGTCAAGATGGATGAGTCCATGACTGTTAAGTGACATTGTGACGTAGATCTGTCAGGATTTTCTAATCCTAGTCTGTTTTCTATCAGAGCTGATGTAGGAGGTAGGTGTAGGTGACTATTTTCATGTTCGGCCTGCATGAAACACTCAGTGACCTATTAGAATTGGACATAATCATATAAAAGTTTCAGTGATCTATTAAAGTTTAATTCCCTTTTCCACAAAAACAACATTTACATAGTAAAATAAAAAAAATTGGCATTTCTTTTTGATTAGTTTTGGATTACGTGGACTAACAGAAACCCACCCGTCCACAAAGTAGTCTAGAACCCCCTAACTCCATCAAAATAACAAAGATGGAGTCAAACGGGAAGAAAAAGTGTGACAAGCCAATATCCGAGTGTGAGTCTCAGGGGGACGTTTTGGCTGGCAGATCCTCGGTGTGTTTGTTCCGTAGATGAGAGGAAACCCGGACCGACTACGCTGAGCGTCCTCGTGATGATTGGGAGCCAGAAGTTCACGTTCACACTCTTGGTTTGTCTGAAAAACACAAGATGCATTCTATGTGCTGCTGATGTCGAACTATAAATATTCATGACAGCATATGTGCAGTTTGACCTCCTGTCACCGAATTAGCATTTTTACGCTGTTTATATTTCTCTGATCTTTGAGGAAAATGTTTTTATTGCATTTGAGTTTATTCTAACATCTGCTGGAGGCGTTTCAGATCAAAACAAAACATTCAGTGTTCCACATGTTTGATCTGCCGCGGCTCCCGTGGCTTTTATTGTTTAAATCCCATCCAGCTGCTGAGGCAAAGATTTGTTGTCCTAACATGCACAATTTAGCAAAAAAGATTAATTAAAATAAGTAAAATACGGATGAAATGAAATAAAAATCTAAACTAAAACCGAAAAGATCAATCACAGTAAAAGTTCCTAAGTTTCTAAATATGTTCAGCCCCATTTAACTCATTCGCTGCCAGCGTTTCTCACCGTTTTAACTGTTTATTTTAAGAGTGACAGAACGTTGCGCGCTAGGATGATGTCGACGCCAAAACGACCAAAACAAAGCGGAGACTCACCTCTTACAGCAGGAAGAATCTGCGCATTTCGAGCGTTATCCGTTCTTTCATAATCCGTTGTTGAATTGTGATCGGCAGAAGCTTTTCCGGTTCGCGCCTCACTTTATTTACAGCAGCGGCCCAAAACGATCTCCTAACACATGGATGTTCTGCTTCCTGATCACGTGACGTGTGACGTATGCGGATGAAGATCGGCTTTAGAGCTGAGATGCTTGTTCTCACGGGGCGGGAGCGCGTCCGACGCCCACACAGTAAAAAAAATGCAAATGACGACTAGGGTTGTCAAGGTGTGAAAATTTAACCTCACGGTTATTGTGACCAAAATTACCACGGTTTTCGGTATTATCGCGGTATTTTTTTAAACGTGTTACATTTTCAGACAACTACATAAACCCTTTATATCAGGAAAATATTGTCCTCAGTTTGTGTCTAAATTTTGCCTAAAATGTGTTATTTTGTAATTATGTTCTTTATTTGTTAACGTTTTTCCCCTTTAGTCTTTAAAATATCAATTTTTGCCCATAACTTGTTATTTTTTGTCTGTTTGATGTCATCATTTTAAAAATATTACATCAGATGATACTCAGTACTAAAGTAACCTTCTAATCAGATACTTTTTTACCCTTACTTGAGTAATAATCCCTATATCAGGAAAATATTGTCCTCGGTTTGTGTCCTTCCAGTGAGCTTTGCAGATGTGGGAAAATGTCATCAGGCAGTAATCATTGTTAAATTCATAATTATTCTCGGAGAGAGACCAACTCTTATCTGCCCCTGGGAGCCCCGTAATGCCTAGCGTCATTTCAACATGGCGGTGTCCGCGACACGGTTTATATGCAGGTAGCGGCGCTGCGGCTGCTTTATATAGCGACTCGTTGCATTCTCCCTCAACCCAAATCCTCGGATCACGCATTTTAGCTAAAACGCTAACGTTTGCTTGCCTTGCGTTGACTGTAGAGTTGTGGGTGATGGTCACACAGATGTGTCATGAGATTTGAAGCGTTGCTGCCTTTCACAGACACCTTTTCTGCAGGTGCTGCAAACAGGATAGCCGTCTTCTATCAACTGTCCCTCGGCATTCTTCAAATATACAAAAGATGCCCGTACTTCACACTTTGTCTTCTTTGAGGGATAATAAATGTCCTGAGAGCTGCCGTCTCCTCCTTTGGCCATTATTTCAGCTCTAGCTTCAAGAAAGTTTTGGTTGTAAACAACAAAGTGCGCATGTGCTGCTGGCAACTTCAGCAGATGATATGGTGGCTGGTAAGGGTAATCGCGCCTACACTGCAACCACGGTAATCCACCGAGATAATATATGTATATATTTTAAAAAGATGGTTATTATTATTATCAACTTTTTTTACCGGGGTTTACCGGTTACCGTGACAACCCTAATGACTACTTTAATGGTCATTGGCAGTGAATGAGTTAAGGTTTCCGTAGAAATGATTCTCAGCTCCTTGAACAGCCTCAGTGTGACGACACCAAGATTAGTTTGGTTGATAAGCTAATGGCTAGTCGCTGAAGAAAAAAATGGATTTCAGTCAACTCAAAAATTCTACGCAGTGCGGCCTATTAGTAACCTTTTAGCTGGTGGTAAAGGTGCTGGAACTAAAAGAGGTACAAGTAGCTAGCTCAGATGCTAATCACAGTAAATGTCTGACGTGACATTTATGGCACAGTTAAGATCTGTAAAACTGGATTTGAGACCAGAGTTGTTTTTTGGTTTGGTTTTATCAGCTTTTACTTTATTGCGGAGCGATGTATTTTATGGGAAACAATTTGATCAGCTCTCATGTTGTGTTTGAATGTGCTATCCAAGTAAACTGGTATGGTTTAGCTGCTGCAGCTATTGAGAGGGTGCTCGCTGCAGAACCACAAAGGCGGAGCTGCACCATAAGGTGGAGCTGCACCAGAGTCAGTCCCGCCCATTCACGCAAATTCAGCCTAGCCCACTGACTTCCGTTTATGTTTTTCAACTTTAGCGCAAACTAACCTGACCCACATGAATTACGGCTGTTACTAGTTTACAGTCGTTAATGCAATGTTCTATGCTCCAATTAAACAAGATAAATATAACTTTCTACATGGCAAAGCCTGAATATATCTCGAAATGAAAAGGTTTCTTCTAGCGAATATCTGCCCACAGCCGCTCTAACAAAAGTGTGATACAACAGCATGCCAGAATATTAAAGTGGTTCTGGTAGTCCAGTGGCAAGGTTGTTTGGTCTAAATGTTACTATCCCCTCAGCTGATGCTGGTTCGATTCTTGGTGGGATAGGCAACAATCTATTTATCCAACTGAAGCATTTAATTTGTTTATATTTTAGCTGTAATGTTTATTTTCAGCAAATTATGTTCATATATTTATGTCTCTAAAAGTTCTTTGAATTTGGTCGTTCCTAAACAGCATTTTAGTTGAAACTCTGCTCACAAATGGACTCACACTGGCTAAAAAAACCAAATAAATAAATAAATAAACACATTAGTCATCATATGTTAAACGGTATACCAGTAAATTGTTGTAAACATAGCACTGTCAAGTGTAGCTAGAAATGAAAAAATTGGATTGTAAACTACCTAATGCTTCCGTTACTGGGAGGCGAACCTGCGCAAAACTGCATGATAACCTCACTCCATAACCACTACACCACCACATCGAATGAAAATCATGTGGCGTTTTATGCAATTGTGCTACTCAGTGTGTCTTTGGAGATGGGTTGTATGGTTTGTTTGCGGTGTCTCAGTAGAAGTCATTTCAGAAATAATTTGTCCCAAAATTCACAGAATATCCAGATTTGAGAACCAAGACCAGACCCGCTTCGGGGGAAAAGACCAAATTGAAGCTGAGATGGGAGGAAAATGCATGAATGAGGCCAAAAATGGCTTTGGCGTGTTTCTTATGAGGAAATGACAGTAAAACATGATTAAAAGTTCCAAAAGTTAGATTTTTAATTATATGGAACCTTTACAAAAACTGTTCAGTTAACTTCTCACCTCCGTCCTCAATCTTGCATTTTTTTAGCTATAACACTCTCTTTGGTTCCAGAATGCTATCAAGTCTGACAACTGGAAGGAATTGGACTGACTCTGATGGAATGGGCGGGGCTGACTCTGGTGCAGCTCCACCTTCTGGTGCAGCTCCGCCTTTGTGGTTCTGCAGCGAGCACCACTTGCAGCTATTGGCTTATCAATCTAGTCTGACCATACCTGTTTCTCCAAAATGAGGTCATTCAGAACATCCTACAGCAGGTTAGATGGTTAATTGTTCAGAACAATCTCGTTTTATTTCTTTCTCAGACACTTTAGAAATGCAACTGTTGGTGGCCAGGTAGGGCAGTAAAGAAGCAACTTTACACCTGATTCTCTGCTAAATGCCCATCGATGGGACACGTTCTTAGGATCAAATCTATTTCTGAGAAAATTCATTCAGCCAAAAGAGGGGCCTCACCCGCAGTTTAACCTCAGATCTGCAGCACTGATGATGATGATGATGAATGGGCTCCATGAGTCTGAGAACAAAAGTTGATGACGGCTTGGGAATGAACTGCTGTAAATCTACTTGAGTACCCATGGAAACGTGTCGGAAAGCAGCAAACCCAAACAAACGTGTACATGATCTAAAAATTTTTGTTAGTGTGAACCTTAAAGTTGATCTTAATTTGAGGGGTCTTCCCCCCCCCCCCCCCCCCCCCCCCCCCCCAGATGGTCGCTCCCTCCTCCTGGCCCCTTGTTTGGCCGACACCCCCGCAGTGCAAGTTTTGGAGCGTGCCGTCCTCGAGTCACGGGTCCGAGAGGTGGAGGAGGAGAACAGACAGATCAGGCTGCAGCTCAGCCAATCGCAGGGCACCGCCGCCCAGCTGGTGGAGGGTAACTATGGCAACCAGCAGTGGGGGGCGTCAGCAGACACCGTCCCAGAAGATGGGGACAACACGGCGGAGGAGAAGAACCACACCGATTGTTCCCGCTCGCCCCCCGTCCAGAAGTGTGAGGTGAGGAGACGGCTCGTTTCTGGTCACTAGAGAATTGACTTGATGCGTTTGTAACTCGGGCTTCCTGTCGTTTCCACAGCTGATCCATGTAGCGTGCGTTTGTGCCGGTCACAATGCCAGCAGAGACGTGGTCACCCTCGTCAAGTCCGTCCTTTTTCACAGGTGAGTCTCCGTCTCCTTCCCCGACAGGACCATCCAGATAACAGGATGAGTTTACCTCACGCTGAGGATTTAAATAACTTTACTTTCATGTGTTTTAGCATTTCCTTTCCTAAAAATGACCTGTAAGTTTATCGTGTTACAGAAACCTGATCTCTAAAAGGTAACTGTCTTCTGTCCGCTTTCAGGAGGAACCCTCTCCACTTTCACTTCATCACCGACACGGTAGCCAATCGCATCCTGAGCTCTCTGTTCCAGTCCTGGATGGTCCCATCTGTGCAGGTCAGCTTCTACGACGCAGACGAGCTCAAGGTGAGAGGACGCCTCTGCTCCGCTGGTTTAACGCTAAAGCTCCTCCAGCAGATGAGCTGGAGCATCAAAGCGCGAGACACAGACAGGTTGTTTGATACAAATCTGAGCTTTTAGAAACCCTCTGATGTTTCCTTACAGTCGGGTGGAGGATCAACTACAGTTTGATCCTTCAACTTATCTCTAAAGATTCTGTCAGTCACTCAGTACAATGTCTCCATCGGTCCCGTTGGTGTTCACTGTCCAAAATCCTCATGCACAAACCTTTTCAGCTGTTGTAGCTACACAATAACCCTTTAACCTTTCCACTCCGTTGAGGCAGTGAGTTATATCATGTAAAACAATAATAAGTGTTTGCAAAAACATGTCGGACAATGAGACCGACGTGCCTGTTAGATCCTGAAAACCACAAATCAACAGTTGATCATTTGTTCTGATTCTGTGACACGGACATTATCTTCAATAATCCATCAGAGATCTCTGGTCTCTGCAGCGGCTGCCTGCAGGAGCGCTTCTGATTATTTTAATAGATCTGCGCACGGTCAAGCAGCTGCATTACAAGCGTGAGGCAACTTAAGATCGTGATATTTGTGCTGAACTAAAACACCGGACAGGATAAAATTTTGTCCTCAACAGCAGTTTATTAGTAGTTTAACAAACAGCTGACATAAGCCCGGATCTCCAGCTGTCAGTCACTCTGAACAGTAACATTAGGCTGCAGCACTCCTTTATGAACCATTACAACATTTGGAAGTATTTTCATGTGCATTCTGATGTTTCTGGTGCTTCATAATAATTTATAATAATTATATGATGATCTCTAATAATTTCCTGATAAATTCTGTAGTTTAATTTTCTGAGCGGAGGGACGGTCTGATCCTCGTTTTCTGAATAAAAAAAATTTGATGGTTCTTTTTTGAAACTATTTAAAAGGACAGTGTGTATTTTTCCTGGCGATAGGGGCCAGTAGATACCTAAATCTTTGCAAGCAAGCAGTATTTTTGTGTTGGAGTAAGATCGTACCAATGGATGCCCATTAGGATCAAAAAGCTCTGGGAAGTGCAAACTTAAGCAAAATAGCAAGCACATCAGACTCCCTTTCATCACTGGCAACAAGAAGAGGTAAATGTGTAAAACAACATTTAAGAATGACAAAAGTTTTGTAACCGTTTGTTACAAATCAGTAAATGCATTTTGTCCTCATGGGCTCCTGTAGAAGGAAAAGTGGCATCTAATATGGCGACGCCCAGAGACTTAGACCCACTCCCATGTATTTTATTCCTGATTTTTATGCTTATGTGTTACAAAGCGGCCAGTATTTTTCAACAACTGGGCATCTTTTTTTTTTTCATTTTCAACAACATTTTGATGGATATTTCCAGAACTTAATGGTAAAAACTACACATTGTCTCTTTAAATGGATTATTGTCACAATAAAATATGTATAATATGTAAAGGTCACAGGTCAATGCAATACCCCCTGTTAAACGGTTATAAATCTGAAGCACACGAGGACAAAAATGTCCTGCGTGGCTCAAAAGTTTTTGCAAACACTGATAATAACGACCAGGCCTCTGCAGATCGAAACTTGTTTTTTAAGGTTTTTTTTTGTGAACTCCTGCAGATCTGTCGCTGCTCGTTGGCTTCTTTTCTGTCATCTTTGGCTCCTTTGGTTTGTTTTTATTTGAGAAGAATTTTTAGCCTAAAAGGTGCTATAAAATTAAAATTTACTTATTTTGACGCTTGCCGTGGTGCCCCGGTGGTATAGGCGGAGCACTGGCTTTGCTCGAGCGATGTGGAACGAAGAAAACGTTACGCACGCCTAAAATACCGATAAGGTCATTGTAATGACTTAATCCTCTTCTGTACATTCGTACTGCGTCTCTTTTAACTTTTATTTTCTTGGTTCTTTTTAAATACAGAAAATAAAACCTTAACATCACTTTTTCTTTACCTTATTAGCTAATGTTTCATTTAAATACCAAAAATAAAAGGTTTTCTTTTCTGTGTAAAAAGAACCAAGAAAAGAGGTAATCCTTTTATTGAAATGTCTGTTTTTAAGAACTTTTTCAGTTCATTAATTTTATTTTCAGTTTAGTTTCCGTAACACAAAAAGACTAAATAGTAAATTGTGACAAATTTAAGACAATAGGATTGGATTGCACCAACAAGGCTTAACTTTTAACTATGCCTAAATTATGAGTTAAGTTTAACTTCCATTGCACCAAACTTTAAGTCTAGTTTAAAATTAAGACGGATTAAATTTAAACCTCTATTTTAAACCCAGTTTAAAGTGTGATCAGGTTTCAGTTTAAACCTGCTAACAAGGAGGTTTAACGTTAGCGATGGCTGTACTGTTGAGGTAATTCTAGCAACCATGCTGATGTTCTTAAAATAAAATTGAGAAAAAATCTGTCCTCTGGAATTTAATGATAAAGATGAATTTATAGTTAGTGCCTCGTTTACCAAATGTATTTTAGAGCTGAGCGTTGTCTTTCTTTGTAAGTCTTGATCCATTAAAAAGATCAACCATTTGCTGCCTCTGCTGGACTGACCATCGATCAGGGGCTGAGTACAGCAGCTCATTATGTCCTTGGCTGACACGGAGCTAGCTAGTCCAGTCATAGCATGAGACGCCTGTTTAGGGCTGCAGCTGTTGAATATTTTTGTACTCGAGTATTCTATTCGATGGCGTTTCGAATGAAACAAGACTGTGGTCCGATGCTAAAATGATAAAGGGATCAAAAATATGTATTAAATTGATGTTGTCTAGTTTTCTAGTTTATTTACAGTTAATATTTTATGGAACAAAATTTGACTTACATTTCATTAAAATTTTAGGTTTACTATCTTGGTATTTAAATTAGTATTTAACTATTTTCACATGTGATCAGTAGACTAATTATTTCAGTAACATGTTCTAGTAGTAATCGGCAACATAATCCAGTCTAAATTGTATTCTAATATAAAAGTGTTTGTGAATTACATGCTACAAAGGCTTGCCGTAGTCCTACTGCGACGTGTGGAGCAGGCTCCTGGTAGCAGCTGAATCGATCCACAAATAAGCGGGATGGTGGAGATTCATTCACAACCATCACGCTTTTTTCTGAACTCCATTTGATTGTGAGCGTGCTACGCGCTAGCTTAGCATTAGCCAATCTACCCGTAGTGTAACTCTTGATCCCAAATTTGGGACTAATTCTTCATTTTGGGCGACGGTGGTACAGGAGTTAAGTGCTCGCCCTGTAATCGGAAGGTTGCAGGTTCGAGCCCCGCTCAGTCTGTCGCTGTCGTTGTGTCCTTGGGCAAGACACTTAACCCACGTTGCCTGCTAGTGGTGGTCGGAGGGACCGGTGGCGCCAGTGCTCGGCAGCCTCGCCTCTGTCAGTGCGCCCCAGGGCAGCTGTGGCTACATTGTAGCTCATCCCCACCTGTGTATGAATGGGTGAATGACTGATTGTGTTATAAAGCGCCTTGGGGGGTTCCAGGACTCTAGAAGGCGCTATATCAAATACAGGCCATTTACCATTTTACAATGGTTTCTGTCTTAGCTGGTCCCCCTTTTTCCTCCACAGCACAGATTACAACATTGTGCGTCAGTAAAATGTGTTCTGACTGTGGTGCGCACATTTAACAAAACTTCAAATCAGTAAAAAATTAATTGAAGAATTTAGTTAATTGAACCATTCGAATCATTAGGTGATTTGTTTCAGCCCTTGCAACGGGTCCCTTTAGCTGCACTGATGCACCGATGTGTGGAGCTAGCTTAGCTGTTAGCTTACCTAAGCGGATCCATTCAGATTTTCTGAGATGGGAGAAACAGCTAAATTAAGTTGCCCAGGGATCACATTGGGTGAGAAGAGCAGAGAGGAGGAGGGTTTTCAACGTAACATCTGTTGGATTTGGAAGCCAGGATTCTCAACAGGCTTCTGGTGTTTAATTAGTAGATTTTATTTTGACATCTACTCCACTTAATTTAAATTAATTAAAGCACAGTTAAAAAAATATAAACTGAGATTAGTTTTCAGTGGTGCAATGCAGCTCTGCTTAAACCTGGCTTTACTAATCTGTGTTTAGAGCTAATATTAGTTTAAATTAAACCTTGTTGGTGCAACCCCCCCTTTGTGACCTAACTCCGACAATTATGTCAGCTGAGCGTTTTGAGTATTTTATCCAACGCTTGCTGGAATCTAAATGACTTTCTAAATCACAACTAATCGTTTTTTAAAGAATTTTTCTTACAAGAAACAAAAACACAACAAAGTGACCATGTTTGACTACATTTATTTAAAACCTTTAAGAATTGCTGATTCATTAATCTTACAACAATTTGAGACAATCTTGTTAAGGATGTTCCTGTTTGTCAGCAGAGCCGTTAAACACAAACATCCTTCAACTTTCTCCAAGTTCCCTTTGACAGAAAGAGTAACTAATTGAGTTGGACGAGTCAAGTGACACTTAAACGTGCACACGCAGAAATAATTTAGTTTAGCATCAAGTTGATGAATGTGCTCTGAGTGGAATATAAAGGAACAAGCATGAATAAATGAGTGTTTGTGTTTCCAGGCTGCTTCCCATCATCACATTCTCCGCTTGCACCGTCTTTGTGCTGAACAATGAGCCCTTTGTGCTGTCAGACGTGTCGACCTGCAGCCTTTCTTCGCTTTTCATTAACTCGCATTAAAGTGGAGAAAAACGGCCGTGACTCTAAGCCGATTATATTTGCAGATGATGCACTTATACAGATCCAATTACTCTGAATCCAGAGAATTAATTAAAAGACACTGTTTACAGATTGTGGAAAAAAGGATATTTGCCAGAATATCCAGGATGTGTTGATGGGAGTCAAACCTGTTGGTCTGGTTCTCGTTTCAGTCCGAGGTGTCCTGGATACCCAACAAGCACTACTCAGGTATTTATGGCTTGATGAAGCTAACGCTAACCAAAGCTTTACCATCCGACCTGTCAAAGGTCATCGTCCTGGACACAGACATCACTTTTGCCACTGACATCGCTGAGCTCTGGGGCGTTTTTAGGAAGTTTACTGGTGAGTCATCGTCTCCTTTTTACCTGTAGACACGGTTATTATATACATAATAAACCCTGAAACGTACGAGAGATTTAACTAAGTGTGGGAGAACACCTGACGACTCACCGTAGAATTTTATAAATACTGATCAGAATCGACTGGATCTTTCTTTGCAGACAAGCAGGTGATCGGTCTGGTGGAGAACCAGAGCGACTGGTACCTGGGGAACCTGTGGAAGAACCACAAACCGTGGCCCGCACTGGGAAGAGGTTTCAACACAGGTAACACAGCCCTGTTGGACTTTGGGATTAACTTAATCTGTGTTGAACTGTGCTCGTCTTCTGTGCCGCAGGCGTCATTCTTCTCTACCTGGAGCGTCTGCGGAGAATCAGCTGGGAACAAATGTGGCGACTAACGGCGGAGCGGGAGCTAATGAGCATGCTCAGTACATCTCTCGCTGACCAGGTGTGAAAGACGACGTCGTTGCCTCAAACATGAAATCAAATCGTTGTTGTTTTTTTTTTCGTGGTGATTAAGTTGAGCACCGCTGCTGGGGTTGTCGCAATGTGATGTCACCCTAAAGAGGGCGTGGCTCTGCTAGGCTGTTGGAATTAGCAGGTGGAGCTGACCAGTAAGAGCAGCATCCATGTTTTATTTTTTTGTAACTGATATTCTTCTCTTATGAAGGCTTTAAACTGCTGAAATGTTTTACACCAAGCTTGGACCCAAACCCGCTGACTTTTGAGTTTCACTTTAATAGAAAACTAACTTTGCATGATCCTGAAAAAGTCTGCAGGTTAAATTTCAGTTGAAGCTGCACTCAAACGCCTCATTAGCTGTCGGGTTGAGATCTGCATGTTTCCTAACAGAAATTACCAGGTCTTCCTCTCATCCTGGAGAACAAAAGCAGAAAGACACCTGATTGAGTCCGTTTCTCCATCTGACTGCAGGACATCTTCAACGCCTTCATAAAGCAAAACCCGGTCCTGGTCCACCAACTGCCCTGCTTCTGGAACGTTCAGCTGTCCGACCACACCCGCTCTGAGCAGTGCTACACCGAGGTGTCCGACCTTAAGGTACGTCACCTGAACGTCACGGCCATTGAGAAATGAGTCAGAGATGATCTGATACTGGGGGATGGCTGCAGCAGCTTCAGATGAACAGCTTCCTAAATTAATTTTGAGCTTGCTCTGTGGGTCTGGAGACATCAGAATTCCTTGTGGCGTAGGCTGGAAGACAAAAAGCTTATCGCCTTGAGCTTCAGATGTTCAGCACACATGTATGTTTGAGACTCTTATTGTGAAAATGCTGGAGGTAGTTCTGCTGCAGATGTAAAAACCACACCTCACATTGATAGTTGGGCCCAATCCCAATACTCGCACTGCGCCCTTGGAGAATAAACAATTGCTTCATCGACTGCAATGCATGATGGGATGCTGGTCGCCGTGGTACTTTGAAAGTTGTTAAAAAGGTTTTTTACAAACAAACGAGTTATTTGAAATAAATGAACATTCATTGCTGCTTTGTTTAAAAATAACTAATTTCATTAGAAAACACACATTTTCAGGAAGGGCACTTGAGCCTTTTTTCCCGCAGCAATGGATTGTGGGTAATACACGTTACCCAAGTCTGCATCCATGCAGATTTGGGTAAAGTGCGGATCAACTTCCGCATTTGAGAATCAGGACGCCCTACGCACTCGCACCCCTGGTCGGGGTCATGCAATTGAAGGGTGCAAGTGCGAGAATTGGGATTGGGCCATAATCTGGTAAAAACACCCAGAACCCCCGGTTATGATGTCACTTCCTAGTGGTGCAATACTGATCCAGGCCAGTAGGGTGTGCTGAGGTTAACAAACATGTTTATTTGGATGTTTGATGGTGAACAGCGGGTTTACCAAACGCTGGTGTAACTTCTCTTAACATGAACGAAGGAATGAAAGTGCTCCTTACGTAACCATATCCGACCTTTCCAGGTGATTCACTGGAACTCCCCAAAGAAGCTCCGAGTGAAGAACAAACACGTGGAGTTCTTTAGGAACCTCTACCTGACCTTCCTGGAATACGACGGAAACCTGCTGCGGCGGGAGCTGTTCGGCTGTCCGAGTCAGGCCAACCCAGAGAGCGTCCAGGTGAGACCCTCCGACATCACTCGCCAGTAGCTGAGGGAGGAAACATCTGGGATCTTCTCAGGTGTTTGGGAGCTTTTTAACCACATAAAGCTTCTTTGGGCCTTAAGGCATCTAGATGGAGTTTCAAGATTAGTAGCTTCATCTAAACCTGCCATATCCAGTCCTTCAGTTGTTCGTGAAATGTGTGGAAACTGTACCACTCTAGTTTCTTTTTAGGCACTGTAAAGGCTTTTATTGTGATGAGCCCACACAGGAAGTCACTCGTCTTGTTTTGTGTGTCTTCAGTTGCAAGCGGCTCTGGAGGAGCTGGACGAGGACGATCAGTGCTACGACTTTCGACGGGAACGTCTGACGGTGCACCGAGTGCACCTGTACTTCCTGCAGTATGACTACATGCCCACCGAGGACGACACAGACATCACGCTGGTGGCTCAGCTGTCCATGGACAGGTGCTGTCCTTGTTTCTAGCTCTAGAGGACTTTATGATGGTAACTTTGTGTTTAACCTTCGTGATGATCTTCCTCCTGCAGGCTGCAGATGCTGGAGGCCATCTGTAAGCACTGGGAGGGCCCCATCAGCCTGGCGCTCTACATGTCAGATGCCGAGGCTCAGCAGTTCCTACGCTACGCACAGGCCTCGGAGGTCCTCAAGAACCGCAAGAACGTCGGCTACCACATCGTTTACAAGGAGGGCCAGTTCTACCCGGTCAACCTGGTGAGGAACGTGGCTCTGAGGAACGCCAACACACCGTACGTGTTCCTGACTGATGTGGACTTCCTGCCCATGTACGGGCTCTACGACTACCTTAGGTAAGACCATCTCTCCTGGAAAATAGCTGCCTATCTTTAAGCTCAGGAGGGAATCTCTCTCACCGTAGTCCCTTTACGCTGCTGTGGGAGAGGGAAGCCTGAGCTGTTCCATAACGCAGGTCATAAAAGACACAGCAGGTTATGATTTGTCAGGCACTGAAGTGAAGCTGCTAATGTTCCTCCTGGGAAATCACAGCACAGGTTTATAACGCGACAATCACTTCATTTAAACATAGTGACCACAAACATGGAGCTCTGATTAGAGCGTTTTCACTCAGTAGCATCAAAGAGGAATAAAAGTAAAACCAGACAGAGTCCCTGTGGTGAAAAACTAAAGGGGGTGTCAGAAGTAATCAACCAGAAGTTCTACTTCATGACTTTTCATGCTCCAACAAACACAGATGTGATAAAGTAGATTAGAAGTTGAAGGTTGGCCTTAAGCGTTCTGATGTCAGACGGAGTAACTGGGATAATGTTGTTCAAAATGGCTGAATGGCGTCCCACATTTCTGGTAAGAGACGAAATAATTTCACCGCCCATCACTGCCCCCTAACCCTTTAGCTAACATGCTAATTAACGTAGCATCAGACAATACAGCACCAGCTGTGAAGAAGAAGAAAATATTTCTATAGCGCCTCTAAAGATAAACATGACGAGGCGCTTCACAAAAACAAAATCTGTAAAATTATAAAAAAGCATTTAGAAAATGTTTTAAAATGAGCAAAAAGAGACAATTGTAATAGAAAAATGTTAGAGAGAGAGAGTGAATAGGAAAGAGGGGAATCAGTGGATCTTGAGGAAGGTGGAATAGGTGGGGAGAGCAGAATAAAGAGAGAGAGGTGAAGAAGGTCATACAAAACCAGCTTGAACAAGTGAGTCTTCAGCTGCTTTTTAAAGGAGACCACTGAGTCCACTGATCTCAGGCTCAGGGGGAGAGAGGTCCAGAGTCTGGGGGCCACAGCAGCAGATGATCTGTCACCTTTGGTCTTTAGCCTGGTGCTGCACAACCAGTAGGCTTTGATCACTGGACCTCAGGGACCTGCTGGGGGTGTAGGGACTAAGAAGATCACCAATGTAAGATGGTGCTTGTCCATGAAAGGCCCTTTAGACCAGAACCAGGATCTTGAAATAAACCCTGAAGTTGACTGGCAGCCAGTGAAGCTGGAGGAGAAGCGGGGTGATGTGGGTGTGTTTGGAGGACTTGGTCAGAAGCCGAGCACAGGCATTCTGAACCACCTGTAGACGGTTCAGGGAGGTTCTGCTCAGACACGTGAAAAGAGAGTTACAGTAGTCTAAGCGTGAGGAGAACTGTCTCAAGTTTAGAGCGGGACAGAATGGGACTCAGCTTAGCAACGTTCCTGAGATGGAAGAAGGAAGAGCGAACAAGAGAACTGACATGAGAATCCAGGGTGAGAGCTGGGTCAAAGGTCACACCAATATTCCTGACAGAAGGTTAGGTGTGAGAAGCAAGCTGACCAAGAGAGTCTCTGACTTTGGGAACCAGCTTGTCTGGGGCACAGATGAGGATCTCAGTCTTATCTTCATTCAGCTGAAGAAAGCTCCCAGCCATCCAGGTTTTGATAGAGTCTAAGCAGGTGTGTAACAGCTGCAGCTTAGACATCTCATGGGGCTTAAAGGAGATGTACAGTTGGATGTCATCTGCATAAAGATGGTAGGAGATTCCTTTGAAGGAGCTTAGGATTTGCTGAAGAGGAAGTAGAAGAGGAAGAGCAGAGACCCCAACACAGAACCTTGTGGGACACCATGGGTAAGAGAGGTGCTGGGGGACCTAAACTTGGAGACGGCCACAAAAAAGGAGCACTCAGAAAGATAAGAGGAGAACCACTCCAGAGTAGTTCCTGATAGGCCTACCCAGTCTCTCAGCCTCTCCAGTAGCAGGTGATGGTCAACAGTGTCAAAGGCTGCAGTCAGGTCCAGCAGGACCAGAACAGAACAGTCCCCTGCATCACTGTGAGTCAGAAGGTCATTAGAGACCCTAAGAAGAGCTGTTTCAGTAGAATGAGCTCTACGAAAACCTGACTGGAAGCCATCATAGATGTTATGTTCATCAAGAGCAGCTGTGAGTTGTTTAGACACAACCTTTTCCAAGATCTTGGAGATGAACGGAAGTTTAGAGATGGGTCTGAAGCTGCTATGGAGAGAGGGGTTGAGACTCGTTTTTTTAAGAAGCGGGTGGATTACAGCATCCTTAAAGTAAGCAGGGACCTGACCAGCAACCAGAGAAGCATTAATTATAGAGAGCACACTGGGACCGATGGACTGAAAAGCACTTTAAAACAAAGATGAGGGTAAGATGTCAAGGGGGCATGCAGAGGTCTTCATACAGTTAACTAGTTTGCTTTGCTCCTGTTTCTTTGCCTGAGTTAACCAAAGCTATGTATGGACTAAGGTTATTGTGAATACCTCAAATAAATTAGATTTTATCCAAAACTTCCATTTCAATCAAAGCTTTAATTATAAAGCACCTTCCACAACCCTGTCAGGAAGCCCAAAGCGCTGAGCCATTTCATTAATGCACTGTAACAGGGCGGGACCCGTGACCATGCAGACCAAAGCCAGCATCTCCTCACCTGAGCTGATGACTAACCCCCAAATTCCACTACCTCCGGTCCGCCCCCGCAGCCGCTTGCTTCCGAACTCAATTTTTACTGGTGCCCGCTCTACAACGGCTCCGCTCCGGTGCGGAGACCTGAGGTGGGCAAACAAGCATGCGCGGGATTTTCGAGATCTTGCGATACAGTCCGAGCAATAAACGCGGAAGTTAGATCCAAACACCCGTTGTGTGGGAGAAGCATCGAAATGAACTGTTTAATCTGCCCATCATCTGTGTTGACAGATCAGCAGTGTTTGGATCAACAAAGTGTGATTACTTTGATAGTAGAAACTGTATTTATGGCTTACTTTTGTGCATTTAAACTTCAGCTGCCATTGATAGTTGTTAAAAGTTGTTAAACCTGTGCATATGAAACAAAAAACGCCTTGTGTTTATCGATGTATTGTGAAAAACGGAAGTTGTGCTTGCTCCTTTTCCTGTTGGGCAGTTGTGATTTCTGTCCATTTACTGCGGAGGTGCTCCGGCGAAAATAGGATCGATTCTATTTTTGCCGCACGCCGGAACAGAGGGCGGTGCACGGCGCTGCACTGCCGGAGTACGGCCGCAGTAGTGGAATTGCTCTGATTGACTAGAACGGGACTGATTTTGCAACGGCGTTCGTGTCGGAGCGGAGCGGAGGTAGTGTAATTTGGGGGTGAGCGCGTTCTTAAGACCAAATCTGAGTCGTTAGTGTTTGGGACCAGTCTCAGGTGTGGGTCTGTGACTTTCAGAACAAAGTGCAGAAAAATTTACACACTGATTTTTCAACAAAAATTAGAAGATGCTTTTGTTTCTCCAACCTAGACTAGAATTCTAGACAAAAGTAGCAGAAGCAAATTTTGTTCTGCATGTTGGTCTAGCCATGCTTTATTGGAACCTCCGCAGCCCCTGGTGTCTGGCCAATCACAACCCTCTAGATGATGACAGACTATTTAGACTTGTGCTTTTCTTTGAGGCAAGAGCAGATAAAGGTACTTAATTCCTTTATTTAGAAAAAGGATGTATTTACGTCACCGACTGTAGATGGTGCACCGTCACGTTGTTTGTAGTCTAACAGCATGCTGAGACTATTTGAAGCACAAGAACTCCCACCCCTCGACTGAATTTTTCCTATGGGTCGTGGCCAGACTATACAGGTCCTTCTCAAAAAATTAGCATACTGTGATTAGGGATGGGTACCTTTGACATTTGAATCGATCCGGTACTAATTCCCGGTACCTAGGAATGGATACCGGTACTTAACGGTACCAATTTTCGATACTTTTGAGTGTTTATTATCTTAATTCTCTTTTATAATTAAATATATATTTTTCTCAATATATAACAATATTTGATAAATATCACGATAAATAACATTCTGTTTGTATTAACATTGTCCCTGTAGTTTTAAAAGCTGATAATTAAACTGAAGCAAACATCTCTGCTGTGAACGAAATTTACTGTGTATCTTCATTCCTTTTACAGTCTTTTTTCATTTGATTTTTCCTACTGGGAAGTTAGAATTTCCGAGGAGAAAGCGAACGCACCATTAGCTGATAACAACGGTGGCAATGGAAGCTAACGTAACAATTTATTTAACTGCTGGAGCAGATTTAAACGCTGATGCCTCACACTTAGATCGTTGTCGCTGGTTTCATCTTCACCCAATCACCCGTCGCATTTAGTAAAGTGAAGCCAAACGGAAGCTAACATATCAAGCTAGCGTTATCTTAAACATTTTATTTACCTACCGGAGCAGATTAAGACGAGGATGTCTCACTTAGATCGTTGTCGCTGGTTTCATCATCACCCAGTTACCCATCACATTTAGTGAAGTGGGCCCAAGCTTTAGTGTGCGTTCTTTCTACCATGCTGCTCTGTTTACAACTGGCTCGCAGCGACCGACGACATAACGCTCCTGCACATGCGCAGCTGTCTAGGCAAGTTCTCGTTATGAAGGACGGGTACCGAAACGAGGCACCGTTTGAAACGACGTGAATCGTGCTCGGTCGGTACTATGGAATTCGGTCGGTACCTTAAAAAGTACCGAATTCGGTACCCATCCTTAACTGTGACAAAGTTCATTATTGCCTGTAATGTATAAACATTAGACTTTCATACATATTAGTTTCATTACACACAACTGAAGTAGTTCAAGCCTTTTATTGTTTCTAATTTTGATGATTTTGGCATACAGCTCATGAAAACCCAAAATTCCTATCTCAAAAAATTAGCATTTTTCATGAAAAGGTTCTCTAAACGAGCTATTAACCTAATCATCTGAATCAACTAATTAACTAAACAGCTGCAAACGATTCCTGAGGCTTTTAAAACTCCCAGCCTGGTTCATTGCTCAAAACCGCAATGATGGGTAAGACTCCCGACCTGACTGCTGTCCAGAAGGCCATCATTGACACCCTCAAGCAAGAGGGTAAGACACAGAAAGAAATTTCTGAACGAATAGGCTGTTCCCAGAGTGCTATATCAAGGCACCTCAGTGGGAAGTCTGGGGGAAGGAAAAAGTGAGGCAGAAAACGCTGCGCAACGAGAAGAGGTGACCGGACCCTGAGGAAGATTGTGGAGAAGGACCGATTCCAGACCTTGGGGGACCTGCGGAAGCAGTGGACTGAGTCTGGAGTCGAAACATCCGGAGCCACCGTGTACAGGCGTGTGCAGGAAATGGGCTACAAGTGCCGCAGTCCCCAGGTCAAGCCACTTTTGAACCAGAAACAGCAGCAGAAGCACCTGACCTGGGCTACAGAGAAGCAGCACTGGACTGTTGCTCAGTGGTCCAAAGTACTTTTTTCATATGAAAGCAAATTTTGCTTGTCATTCAGAAATCAAGGTGCCAGAGTCTGGAGGAAGACTGGGCAGAGGGAAACGCCCAAATGCCTGAAGTCCAGTGTCAAGTACCCACAGTAAGTGATGGTCTGGGGTGCCATGTCAGCTGCTGGTGTTGGTCCACTGTGTTTTATCAAGGGCAGGGTCAATGCAGCTAGCTATCAGGAGATTCTGGAGCACTTCATGCTTCCATTTGCTGAAAAGCTTTATGGAGATGAAGATTTCATTTTTCAGCACGACCTGGCACCTGCTCACAGTGCCAAAACCACTGGTAAATGGTTTACTGACAATGGTATTACTGTGCTCAATTGGCCTGCCAACTCTCCTGACCTGACCCCCGTAGAGTATCTGTGGGATATTGTGAAGAGAAAGTTGAGAGACGCAAGACCCAACACTCTGGATGAGCTTAAGGCAGCTATGGAAGCATCCTGGGCCTCCATAACACCTCAGCAGTGCGACAGGCTGATTGCCTCCATGCCACGCCGCAATGAAGCAGTAATTTCTGCAAAAGGATTCCCGACCAAGTATTGAGTGCATAACTGAACATAATTATTTGAAGGTTGACTTGTTTTGTATTTAAAACACTTTTCTTTTATTGGTCGGATGAAATATGCTAATTTTTTGACATAGTAATTTTGGGTTTTCATGAGCGGTATGCCAAAATCATCAATATTAGAAACAATAAAAGGCTTGAACTACTTCAGTTGTGTGTAATGAATCTAATATATATGAAAGTCTAATGTTTATCAGTACATTACAGGCAATAATGAACTTTATCACAATATGCAAATTTTTTGAGTAGGACCTGTACATTAACAAAGAGGCAAAAACATATCTCATTCCCATGAAATCCTGGATCAGTTCCTCAGACTCCAGGAATGTTGGAAAGCACTGATCTGGTCTGAGGATCTGCGTTCCAAAAATGAGTGTTTGTGTACCTGCTGCTGTTACAGGAAGGCTGTGGTCCAGTTGGACATGGCTCACACCAAGAAGGCTCTGGTGGTTCCGGCCTTTGAGACGCTGCGATACCGTCTGTCTTTCCCCAAATCCAAAGCCGAGCTGCTCTCCATGCTGGACATGGGGACTCTCTACACCTTCAGGTACGAGAACACAAAAACCTTGAGAGGACTAAACATGAACCTAGTCATTTAATTACGTTATCTGACTCAGGTACCACGTGTGGCCGAAGGGTCACGCTCCTACCAACTATGCCAAATGGCGAACGGCCACCATGCCCTACAAAGTGGAGTGGGAGCCAGACTTTGAGCCTTATGTCGTGGTGAGACGAGATTGTCCCGAGTATGACCAGCGTTTCGTGGGCTTCGGGTGGAACAAAGTGTCTCATATCATTGAGCTGGATGCCCAGGTATGTCTACGCCCCGCTAGGCGTGGTTTATTTCATACGTCAACATCAGAAGTAGGGACGAGTACTGATAAGATTGATTGCTCTGGTTGTCATGAAATCTTCCCAACCAGCAGGGGAGATAATTAATTCTACAATTTTTCATTAGGATAATGGCGTAAAGAATATACTTGGATGTGCTACCCATCAAAACTGTGTCTCCATCTGGCTTAGTCATACTGAATTTACTGCTGGAACGGCGTGTTCCACTCACTAAAAATCTCTTTAGGCAACACTTAATTTTAAGTTTTTGGAAAACTTAATTGATCATATCAATTTCATCAACACAGCAGAAACCATCTTCTATCGTTAAATTCAGTCATCAGGATGTATTTTTCCGTTACGACGAATAAAAGACTAAGATATTTATTTCCTACAATTTTCTCCTAACACTAAAGAAAATGAGTGGACAGACTATTTTTGATAGGAGACACGTCTCCGCAGAATACCTGTAGATCACCAACGCCTGATTCTCTCACCTGCTGGTTAGGAATAGTCCATAAAGCGAGCCACCATGTTGTCATCATCAGCCGTAGCCCCTCCCACGCACTGTGATATAAAATAATAAATCATTAATAAAGATTTTATGCATTCATTTCAGATTTTTGACTAAACATTTTTTAAAAACCCTTTCAGGAATATGACCTGATGGTTCTCCCCAACGCGTTCATGATCCACATGCCCCACGCTCCAAGCTTCGACATCTCCAAGTTCCGCTCCAGTTCCAGCTATCGCAACTGTCTGAACACGCTGAAGGATGAGTTCCATCAGGACCTGTCCAGGAAGTACGGAGCGGCAGCTCTGAAGTACCTCACCGCCCAGAGGAATATCTGAGGATGGCTGAGGTCCAGCAGACCTGTCGGACCCCCGAGGGCTCGGATACGTACTCATGCAGGGGGTAACAGCGCAGCGGAGCGTGGATAATAGTGATGCAGTCAAGCCTTGTGGCCCTGTTGAACGCTCTCCGGTCCCCGTGCATTAATTCTCCAGTCGATCCAGGTGATGGGGGACAGAACGGGAGAACGTCGGCTTCTCCAAATGCAGGATTCAGCAATAGCTGAGGGGGAAAACAGACGGCGGTGGAAACTAAGAAAAATAACAAAAAACAAACAAAATAAAAGGTTTTGCTATTTGTTCCGACAATCAGGGCTTTTCCCAGAGGTCGTAAACGGAACTGGTCTGCACGAAGACCTGGACTCGATGGGACATCCTACACCTGTGAGGCCAGTCGAACTGGAGAATGATCCAAGCCTTATCAAGTTCTTGATATTTACAAAGATATTTAATAAAAGTTTAGTTTGTTTTTAGGAGTATTCAGAACCAATGATAGTAAACATCCACAGTTTTGATTTCAGCTTTATAATAAGTTTGCTTTCTTTTATATTTTCTGACCTCTTTGATCCATAGTTTCCCGTTTGGATGATTTTGGAGAGTTTGTGGGCTTTAGGTGTGTCTGTATGATCTGGCACATCAACACGCTTCCTGCCTGTGGTCGGCGTCATGCTTGCTTCTGTCCTGCATGTTAACCGTTGCACTACAGGTTCTGTTCACCTTTTAACTTATCGTTTAAAGCAGCAGAACAAATGAATGATTGGGACCAATGCAGAAGTCTGAACCACTGGTTTTATGTGCTGTCTACTGAATCGTTTTACCCATGATCCTTTGGGTTAAGTCCATCTGAGATTCAAAATGTTTAAAATTTCTTCCCAAGTAAAAGTGTATTGTCAATAAATGATCCGACTACTGCTAAAGATTTTTGTCACACTTTTCAAACGACACGCAGGTGCATCTTGTGGAGTGTCTGCACAAGAACGCGTAGAAAAACACGTTTTTATTTGCATTAACTCCCAGTCTGGACCTCTGTGCTTCCGTACAAGCGCTACGCTAACCAAACAGGAAGTTGGGTTAAATTAGTCAACATGTGTTTTTAAAATCAACCACTTATGAACCTGGATGTTTAACTTTTGGTAGAAAAGGTCATTAATCATGATGTTCAACTATGCAAGGGCCAACATGAATCATTGTTCCTTTATAACGGACACACCCTACAATGCATACCTGGATACCTAGAAACGTGTGATTATTTAGTGTTTTCTTAATAGAAGATTTCCACTTTGACAATTATTTTTCTTTGGTTAAAAGATCTGTTCTCTTAGAAAAACAACTATTCAATCAATCAATACTTTATTCATCCCAGAGGGAAATTCATATCAAATATCATATTTGGTTCCTGTTAACTCACAGCCATCGACCACTCAACTCATCAATTATGTTTTTTTTTTTAACGGGGCGGGCTAGGGAATGAGTTTGCGCACCTTGAGAGTAAACATCACCCATCGGCTCAAACATCGTGATCAGACATTCCATGAATTAGGAGATCGTTATGGGACGCCGCTATGCTCAAGGCGAGGCGCCAATCGGAAAAGCTTATGCAGCTCACACTACGACAATGGATTGTGAAAGAACGAAAAAAGCTAGAAACACAGATTCTTCATGATGTAAGAAGGGAGTCTACTGTCTTTTCTAGTTTTGGTGTTTACATGGTCAAAGAGCACAATACTGTGTGTGACTTCAAAAAAACAGTAAAATGCTGAAAAACGCTGGCAGTCAGGGGATTTCTGATCTATTAGTATCACAGAACCACGCTGTTGGGCTAAAACCTCGTTTTGAGGGTCATCTGTCTGGTTTATGGATCACTTGTGACCAGTCAGAGTTTGTAGAAGAAAAACATTTTCCATAAAGTTTCACTTTATTCTGGTCCTACATTAAAGAACAATTTAATCTAAATCACCTAAATATTTTAGAGTCTGGACACGAGAAAACTTCAATATTTACACAAATCCATCAGAATTCAATAGTTTCTATGTCTGATGCTTGTTTATCCTAAAAATGATTTAAAACCAATCATCCTGTTTTATGATTGGTCCCCCACATTTAACGTACGATAAATTAGATCATCTATCCAGGATTTGTGGAACCAGCTTCTTAATCCAGACCTGGGGTAAAGATGGCGGCACGAATACTAAACCAACAAGAATAAAAGTGTCATTATCATAAATAAACTTAACACAGAAGGTCTTTTCTTTAATTTAAACTTATAATTTAAAGTCTTCTTGGTGGTGGTTTTAGTTTGACGTAAGTCTGTATAGATCTGATCTCAGATGACTACGGCAGCAAAGAGAAAACATTTCATCTCAGATGGACTTTAACAGTTGGTGCTTTTTTATTTTTAAGCATTAAACTCATCACCCACTGATCATGTGACCTAATGTTGTAATCGGATGTATTTTTTATGTCACGCTGCTGTTTCAACCTGACTGATTTACAATTGACCTGACGAACACAGTTGCTTATTTTAGTCATATTTTGTGTAATTTAAGCCAAGTTGATCATGTTTTTACTTTCTGCTAAACAAAGAAAATTGAAAATGATGGCTTATTTAATTTTGTACCATTTATTTAAGTTGTTAGTTTTAGTTTCTGCAGGTTTTTGTACCTGAGTAGGAGGAAGAAGACATCCACCCGAAGTCATTTCACTGAATCACGGCAGAAAAACGATACCAAACTGGTGTTTGCGTTGGTTGTTTGACGACGTTTTGAGTGATCGGTGCCACGAAGAGCCCTGCTCCGCCCCCCTCGCGCTGCCATCTGCACCGCCTCCATCAGTGTGTTGTTGATTGTGGTAAATGCTAGTGCCTTTGCTGTATTGTGAATCTGGATATTGATTGTACAGACGTACGGACAAGGCCTGAGGATTGTCAGGCGCTCTATTTATTATTGTCGACTCAAATCAATCATATTTTTCTATGTAAGTGCTTTAAATAAATTAGCCTTTTCTAATGATTATGTAGGTTTTGTTTTGTGATGAGTTATTTTTTTGCATTGCGCAGACCTTGAAGAATTATTTGTATTCTCATCACTGCAAGGTGAAATGTCCAGGGAAATCCAAAATTTCTGATGTTTTCCCAGATCCGCGGTTGTAAGTCGAGTGAATCCTCCATGTGTGTAATTGGTCTGCTGAAAATGTTTTAATAGAAACTACATTGTTTTGGATGAATGGGTCCCCGCACCTTTCATGCATTTTAAATGCAAATCACAATGAAATAATTGGATCCAGAACTTCCTTTGTACCCTACTTAACAGTTAATTATTTATTAAGCAGCACCGTAAGTAAAAAAAACTTTTAGAGAAAACAAACTAATGGAGCAGAACCCGTAAAACAGGGTTCTTCTGGTGTACGTGAGCTAAATGCGTTTTTATGACAGAAGTTTACCTTTACACTGACGCTTGATTAGTGGTGTGCATCTCTACCTGCCTCACGATTCGATCCGATTCCGATTATCTGCCTAACGATTCGATTTGAGTCTGAAATGCATCACGATTCTTCACACAAAAATTTTCATTACTTAATAAAAGCAGTAGAATAGTTTTCAATTTCTTTTTGATTTCGAAATCCCTGAAAAACAGAACATTCATCTATTCACTATAGTGAGCAATAATGTTTAAAGTGTGCTGCCTATAATTACTTAAATAATATAAGAAATGTTTTTGGTATAGCTTTAAGATAGAATATTACTGAACTTAAAAATGGTAAACAAATACTGTGTCAAGTAATTCTTTCACATCCAGGATCCCAAAACCGAAATTAGCCCAGACATCCGATTTAAATGTAACGGGTACATCTTTGATTACTGGTAATGTTGGCCCTGTATCCCTGTCCGCCTTTTCTGTTTTAAATTGGCGCTAGGGCAATGCAGTGCGCATGTCATTGCAACTCTGCCCCCAGAAGTAATTGTAAAACCTCAAAACATTATTGTCCTCGCATAGACATTAACCAGGGGTCGGCAACCTGTTCCCATCAAAGAGCCATTATTACCCGTTTCCCACAGTAAACAAAACACCGCAGCAGCTGCGGCGTTGTGGGCGGGGCCTACCCTCAGACAGCAGAGCGCTGCTCACAACAGGTGACAACAGCCGGTACCGGTCGCTCGTGTACGTCAAAGTTATCTTTCATAAGAAGATAATCAATAAAACGATTTATATAAAATGGATCCAGAAGTTGTAGCCCGTCTCTGCCTACATTTTGATATTTTTCACCCTGTTGGTGGTTTTACTGAGCAGGTGCCACTTTTGTCATACGTTTCTTTTTAAAACAAGTTTAGACTGTTCAGAATACAAATCCAGGCTCTGTCACGTTTGATTGTTGTAATTAAACTTTGTAGGTGGGGAAGGTCAGAAAAGGATCCGATCATTTTGTTTTTCCCTCATTTACAGTGACGGAGATAACGGCGCAGTGCGCCTGGCTATGGTGTTAATCAAGGTAAATTATATCTCTTTGCAACAATTTTCACAAGAAAACAGAACAGTTAAAAGCAGGGCTTGTGTTGACCGGATAGTTCCCGTATTTGACCGTTTATTTTGACGGAGAAAGAATAGAAAGAATTACCCCGACGCATGCAGACGAACTAACATTTTATTTTACGCACATCGCAGATGTAGCTAAATCACTCAAGAAAAGATTCCCATCTGAACATCTGAGCTGGACACCGCTCAGCGCAGCTCGCTGTCAGCGCGTACGTAAGGTGCACAGCGAGCTGAAGATGTGGAGAGGGGCTTGGAGCACGTCGCAGAACCAGAGCGCATGCGGGAAGATTCCTCCGACTGAAGCGAGACTTGTCACTTAGAAAATGTTCCCTGATTATGAAACTTTGGCTGAATAGTGCCTATTCCTGTCTCCAATGTGACGACACATCCAGGACCTGAGGAGAATCCCAGAATCTCACATCCTCTTCAGCTCAGAATGCGATATGAATAAGAATATGATTACGCACAAGCGTGACGCGTCAACCCGGTCTCACAGTAAGAGCGGGTTGGACCTGTTCAGGTTTACGCAGACAATCTTTACATTTAGAATTGGCATACAGATGTAAAATTTATGCAGTAAAATATAAAGCATTTTATTTAATTATCCATTCATTATTTTACAAGCACAGAGAGCCGCATCAGATGGATGGAAGAGTCGCATGCAGCTCCAGAGCCGCGGGCTGCCGACCCCCGGCATAGACATAGGGACAGAATCTCATGTCACATTGCTGCATCGATGCGGAATCATGCACGGCTGAATCGCGTTGCATCTTAGAATCGATCATTTTTCCCACCTCTACGCTTGATATCATCCGACATGCAAAAATGAGCCATATTGTGTTGCCTCTTTGTGTTTGTTAGCAAAATAATTCATGCACGAAAACATAAATGTTGAAAAAAGAGACCTTCATTCATCTATCCGGGTTGGGTAGCGAGGGCAGCAGCCCCAACTCCTCTGGGGAAATCCTAAAGCGTTCCCTGGCCAGCCGAGAGACAAATTCCTTCCAGTGTGTCCTGGGTGGTCCTCTAGGTCAGAAGTACCCGGAATACCTCACCTGGGAGACATCTAAACTAGATGCCTGAGCAACCTCAACTCGCTTCTCTCGATGTGGAGAAGCAGCGGGTCTACTCCGAGCCCCTCTCGGATGACCAAGCTTCTCACCCTTTCTCCAAGTGAGAGCCCAGCCACCCTGTGGAGAAAACTCATTTTGGCCGCTTGTAAAGCTCATGCTCATAGGTGAGAGTAGGAATGCAGATCGACCGGTAAATAGAGAGCTTTGCCTTCCGGCTGAGCTCTCTCTTCACCACGACCGATCGGTACAACGCCTGCATCACTGCAGACGCAGCACCACTCCGCCTGTCGATCTCACGCTCCATCTTATTTCTCCATCTTCCCCCCCGTAAATAAAACTTATAAAGAGGAGATACCAAACTGTATCAGAGGGCCTCTTGAGGGATGCGGTCACACGCCGTCTCACTCACAATCCACAAAACCCTGAATCCGAGGTTAGACAATCCGCTGGACCCTCCTCTTCTGAACCCCTGAGTAGACCTTACCAGGGAGGCTCAGGAGTGTGATCCTTTTGTAGTTGGAAAACATCCTGCGGCCCCCCTAAAATAGGAGGATCACCACCCTGGTCTGTAGGGCTGTAGCGAAGCTTCGATGACGTCGACGGCTCGATTCTAAAAATTCGTCGACGTCAGATCCGGTAGTCGACGCACCGCGCCCACTTGTTGCATCCCCAGGAGTTTGTAAATAGAGGTGGAATCTGCCTGTTTTTCCTCTAGTTCGCCCTCTTCTCCGCCTTCACTAACATCTCAGCCAAATACCGAAGACCCGGAACAAAGTCCATCCGCTACTAGGTTCCTTTCCTGTTTTGCCCGCCTTCGTTTCCCGGCAACGGACAACAACTTCCGGGGTCAAATGCGCTGCTCCGTCTCTATAGCAGATGTAGAAAATCACCGGGAGCGTTTCTCCCTTCATAAAGGAGCTTCTTTCAGACATGAGGAGAGCTGTTTTGGTGGTAGCAGTCTCTCCTCCGAGCTGGTCTGTTTGCTGCTGGGTGTTTTTGGTTTATTTAAACTTGGCAACTTAACGTTGGTAAAGCTACTGTTAGCATTTTCGCTAACAGCTTCTTGCGTTTGGATAAGCTGTTACGTTTTGGTTTAGAGTTCATCTTTTTACAATCCAATCCAATTTTATTTATAAAGCGCATTCACAAGGCATTACAACCAAACAAGGCGCTGTACACTAGAAATGTTGGTTAATTAAACAAGCGATATTTAAACATGTTGAACACATATAAAAAATAATAATTTGTGGTACAAATTAATAAATGTCTAAATGTAATAAAATCTCCCTTTTGTTACATTTAGAGTGTTTTGGGTTTTCGGTTTAGTTTAAAATATCACCTTGAGGTTGGTTTAACCGCCCAGTTTAGAGTTTGGAACTTTGGAGATTCTTATTTTGGTCCAAAACCCTGTAATCTTTGCACAGTGGGACATCCCTAGTTATCTGTACTTTTGTTTTAATTCCCCACAGGCAGAATTAGTTTTATTACTCCCAACCTGTGGATGGAAAGATTTGGTTTTTTGTAGTTGTAAATAAACCCGATCATCATTTTAACTTTTAAATCCCGTTATTGCCCCTTCCTTTTTGCACACGAGCCAAACTCCCCAGGAAGAGTCGTAACACCACTCGCCTCACGCACATAAGTGACCAAGACGAAGCAGCATGGAGACACTCCGTCTCCAACCACCTCTCAGGCAGCAGCCTGTACTCCCAAGTTCTACACGTCACCAGAACATAACCAACCAACACAATAAAAGCAGTGTTATACAAAATGGGAGGCCTGTAGTGTTTATTCTCTTACAGTAACAATTAATCAACTTTTTGGAGGAATTTATTAGAGATTTTTTGGTTTTTATTAACTGTGCAATAGAAAAATAATCATTAGATTAATTGTATAAATAGTCATTAGAATAGTCGACTATTCGATAAAATAATCGTCAGAATAATCGTTTTAAAAATAATCGTTTACCCCCAGCCCTACTGGTCTGCAAATCCAGTGGAACTGCCCCCGATGTCCACATGTCACCCAACTCAACCCTACAACTTCCAGAGCCTTAAGGAACTCTGGGTGAATCTCATGCATCCCTGGAGCCTTCGATTCCGGTTCCTATCGATTGCCGATTCCAATTCTTTCAAGACGTTATACGTTTTAAACTTAACTTCAACATGAATTTTTATTCTATGAACAATAACATCACCTTCATTTAGACCAGTGGTTCCCAAACTTATTTAGCCGCACACCCCCTTCTATGTCCCGACCATGTCGACGCACCCCCCCCCCCCCCCCCCCCCAGTCCCCACATCGGGGCATGGCTCTATATATATATATATATATATCAGATGTCAAGCTAAACAGACAGGGTTAAAAAAAATTCCCCATCACTTTTATTTTTTAAATAGTAATTAATAA